TCACTCACCTCAAAAAGCCTGGTCACTTCAACAACAACAACAAAAAAATAAATGCAATCAAATTCTATCTTTACAGCTTATTGTCCGAGGTGAAAAGTAAGGCTCGCTGGTAGAGAGAGAGCCCCCACAGGAATGTGCACTGTTTAAATCTGTCTCTTGCACTTTAACACTGACAATAAAAAGAGATGTTCAACCTGGCGACACAGACCTGTGGACGGCAAGGACACAGGTCTGTCCTCCAAGTAGAGATTCAATTAGTCGGCACAAGATTAAATGAAGAATAATAATAAAATAAAAATATATAAATAAAAAATAATACAAATACAATAATACAATTTCAATCATTCATTTAAAAAATCCACTAGGGTTATTTCAGCATATCATCTTGAACCTAACAGCATATTTGTCGTCCTCACAATAAACAGCACGTCTTTCATTGCTCCTAAAAACACTTGAGTCTAACAACAGACACAGGCTGGGGTATGTATTGAATATCTGCCATATGCCAAAACAGATTCATGATTAGAATAATGAGATGGCCTATATTTTAACGAGTAGCCTCGCTTTGGCTTCACAAAATTGCATGACAAATACCAGGTCAAGGTGATTATTGCATTGTTGTCAATGATGCAGGTTAACGTCACCCACAGAAAAAGACGGTGTGCATCCACCTCTACAAACACCACCACCCGGTTATTAAAAGCTAAATGAGAATTTTCCCCGCAAAACAATTAAACCTGTGCAACATAAACAGTTTGTACACGCATCCCTTTGCAGGCCATTCGTGTCACTAATTCGTTATTTTACAGGGAGTAAACCGTATGAAACACCTGTTAGAGCATCTCCAATGAGGATAAAGAAGAGTTTAACCAGTTTTGACTTGTTAGACCCCACAAATGAATAAAGCCACTTACCGTGATTATGTGTATCAAGGTGAACAGGTGCTGTCCAAAAAAGGAAGGTGAATGAACCAGTAAATTAAGTCCCGGAGGAGGCTGCTGCGTTCTCCTGTACACTCCAAGCAGAAGAAGCAGAAAACAACAGACCACTAGATCCAAATCAAGGTGACCTTGCGTTTGATGAAGTAGGTTTGACTTACTGACATTTAAAACAAGCCTTGTCTGTTTACTGTCATCGCGCACGAATGAGACATGGCAGGTACCTACTACCTCCACCGGGGCTGCATGTCTGTGGAGCAGACCCCGTCTGCGCGCAGCCTGCGGCTCTGACAGTGAATGGCGCCGCTTTCGGCCCCTGAAGTGGGACTTGTTTTTTGGAAGTGTTGTTGATTGTCCTCGGATCTATAGAGCTTTGGCTTGAATCCTGGTCACGAACGTGGATCTGAAGTTTGATGCTATGAGCAAAACATTATGTGAGGAGGGATCAGGATCGAGGAGGGGAGGGGGAGAGACCACTGGTTTTGTTCTTGTGAGGAAAAAAAAAAACAAACAAACAAGGACACCAGCAAAACGGCGTAATCGTACACCTAAATACTCATTTCATTGCTTTTATTTATTTATTTCTACTCTTCCAATCATTAGAATGATTTTGCCAACACGGCATTAGGAGCATAAATCAATAAGAAACGTCTGCAGGATGTGTAAACCACGCTACCTGTCATAAACCTATTTTCTCACTTCCTGTGCAGACAGACTGGAGATGAACAGTGAAGGTATAACCCAGGGCATCATGACACAGAGAGAGGACGAAAAACTCCACATCCACAAGGTGGCACTGACAAACCAAGAATGACTCCTGCAGGGGTCGATCACAAATGGGTCATTCCAGAAATACTTCATGCAGCTAATTATAAGGCGACCCTTTAATTTGGAACGCGTCATTATCAGACGTGAACGCAGGGACACGAATGGACACACGTGAGACAGTCAGTGACGAGCAAAGATCTTTCAGGAGATTTGTTAGAACCGGTCCTCTTCCTGATTGATCATGGTGAATCTGATCAAAGGCACTTTGGATAACAAAGAAACTGAGATTTACACATGAGGGGATTTGCTGCAAGTGTTCTTTCTTTAATTTCATGGCTGGATTACACTGACCTGTGGGCCCCTAGGACCCACTCCATACCCCCTCCTTAGAACCCAGTATTGCTGCCATGTCACTTAAGAATAAGCACCGTGTGAGCACGATATTAAATGATAACAGTAATTATAAAGATAATATTTTGGCACTGGGTCCCTCTTCAAGATGGACTAGTTAAAAAGGCAGGACATGTCTTAAGGCTGGTCTTAATACTCACATGTTGACATGTACATCCATCCATCCATTATCTATATACCACTTATTCCTGAATAGGGTCACGGGGGGAACTGGAGCCAATCCCAGCTGATATTGGAGGAGAGACGGGGCACACCCTGGACAGGTCACCAGTCTATCACAGGGCTGACGTGTAGTCTGTGGCCCCTGGGTTTTACCAGCAAAGCAAATGTATTTCTCCTGTTCTATCCACTGTCACGAGAGTCTATAGAGAAAAGGCCGCCCTGCAATGGCACTGACACAGGTTTTTGTCTTTCCGCTGTATAGGAGGGTATTAAAAATGCAACAACAGATAGAAAAAGAAAAACAAGCTGTTTAGTTCCACCAGTGGCTGTATGAGAATGTCCACAAGAGGGTATAAGGGTATAATCCAAACACAGAGTATCAGAGAATGAGGAGCGGAGACAGACTGTACTCCTTTTACTGTACTTGTGCCAGTGTAATCTGCATTTAGATTCTAATTTGTTAAACCTGTTTCACTTTCTAAATTGCGAGTGAAAAGCCTGTGAAAGAAATAATATTGATTACAAACATTGCCTGGTCCTCTTCTTGTTTGTGAGTCTGCAGCCGTCAGTGAATTTCCCTCTGCTGTCACACGGCATCTCACCGGTGTCACCAGAGTCTTTCTCATCTTGTAAACTTGTACACTATGACTCCTTATTGAATAAATGGTCATATACAATAAAAGCTGTCATGATTAAATGTAAGGAGGCAAATAAAGTGCTTCATATAGCAGTTCACAAAAACATCAATCAAGTTACATTAATCACAGCAACTTTAAAAGTTACACTCCAAAATCAGTTTAAAGGTAGCTACTCAAAAACGCCAGGTAAGTTAAACTCTTAACCAGGAACTCAGCACTGAGAAAAACATGAGCTAATGCTGCACTGTGTGTGAAAAGTCCTGCTCGATCTTGTTAAAGCAGGCGACTCTATGATACCATCAGTAGCAATCATCTGTCACAGTTTCAGGGCTGTAGCTAGAATGTTTGAAGAGCTTGTGCCATGACCTCAAGTTACCCCCCAACCCCCCTCTCAAAACAAAAAAAAAGTATTTAAAGGTTCTTATATTATTCTATTTTCTACATTTTTACTAATTTAAGTAACTGATCAATAGACAATACTTTCAAATAATAGTAGAAACACTTTTAGAAGTCCAAGGAATGAGAGAGGAACAATTTAATAATTAATGAATAGCTAATATGTGGCTCCTGAATAACTCCATGGCAAAGACTATATAATAGATAATAATAAGTCAGCTGTTAACAGACACTGCCATATTATATTAAATAAAAATTGATGATCGGTGGTAGCTCTGTCTCTAATCTGACATACAGGTACCTTTAAACTCCTTGAGGCAAGT